AAGAGCAGTCAAGGCTACATTTTTCAGAATGGAAAAGCAGCTAGCCAAAGAAGTAAATGGAAAATTGCCTAAGCCACCCAAGCGCATTAACAAAGTTGATCGAAAGGCTGCAAATCAAATTATCCAAAGACATAATCATCAACAGGAACAGAGTAGTGTGGTATGTGAGTCTCCTTATTACTCCTAATTCGCACTTTGTCACAACACCTGTGGGACTTGTCTGAAACAGCATCCAAAGGTTTAGAGGCGTGAGCTTGAATAACCTACTAAGGAAAGGCCCCTGATGTCCTCAACCAAATCCACGCTGTCTTTCTCAGATTTAGAAGTGGAGTACTTCTAAATCTGCTCTGGGTGTCATAAAAAAGATGTTCAATGCAATTTGGTTGGAAGACCGAGACGTACATCTGCATGGACATCTGTGGTGAGCCTCTGAAGAGGAAGAGTTAAAGGATGAGAAGAAGGAGAAAATGCAGTCACAAGAGAAATAATCAAAGATAAACCAGCAGGGTCCATTGTGCAATAGGCAATGCGTGAAACTGCCAAACTCTCCCCTTTCGCCTAACAAGTTATGCTGATGACATTCTCAAATCCGATAATGCCCTTGACCAGCTGAAAACCATCACAGCAAATGTGGAGCAAACACTGACAGCTGGCAAACACTGACAAGGCTTAAACCTTGGGTCTTTTCCGGGCAAAGTGGAAGGAGTGAGCGATAAGCAGGAGAAAACTAAGGCAAAATGGTCATCACTCCCTCCTCCTTAACAAACCATCCATGTCATGATTGCAGTCTTTTTCTCAAGTAGAAAGAATATGATGCAACTCGTCCCAAGACCTTCCCCAGGAGCATATCAGAGCCCAGATGCAACACCCCCTTACACCATGAGAACTGCTCAGCCAGTATCAGAGCTGAGTACCCAGTTGGCCTGGTAACTCCTGCCAAGCAGAAGGGAGCTACCCTAATACATAGGGCTTTCGAAGAAACAAAAGGCAAAAGTCCAGTTAAAGACACATGAGAGGACATGGTTAAGCTCTTTTAAGAGTATACACAACTTGTAACCAGTCAAATTCACCATGGCACTAATTCCCCCATTCTTCGCTGAAGAACCCAAGGCAATAACATTCTCTGATGGAAGTGAGTATGCCTCACTGGAGCAGTGATGTATGCAAGCTCAGTCTAGGGCCCAGTCATCAGGTTGGTGGAATCTAGAGCCAAATTTACCCCCTTGGACCACAAAGGCGACTCTGTCAAAGCAAAGATGTGCAGAGCAGCGTTTACCTCGCGCCTAAAGAAGTATTTTGAGCTGCACAGCTATCTTGTTGGTAGCCAGACAGTTGGTGCAGTACAGTGAGAACTCTGGTTTGCTTTCTGCATATTTTCTTTTGACAGTGGATTCTTGCAATTACTTTACCTCTTTTAATTACGTATTTTTCTTTTTCTTCGGGTTTCAATATTTTCTGGAATCCATGCTTGTTTTGGTATTCTCTATTGCTGATACCAGTACAGTGTTAACTGCCTGTATCAGCGCTGATACCAATATAGTAACAGTGCAAACCTACAAATAAATGTCACACTAGTCACTATAAAATAGTACCCATACAATACAACACATACAATAAACAGAGAATGAATTCAGCTAACTTTAGTTAGTTATTTATTGCTAGCTAATTGCTTTACGACATGCTTACTCAAGTTATAATTTGAGTTGTAAAAAGCTTAGAATTTCACTGGTTTTAGCAGACATCTCTGGCAGCTTAGAAAAAAAAATATTTCTTTAATGATTTTGAAACTGAGCAGAGGAACAAAATTTTCAAGAAGGGTACTGTTTTGCTTTGACTGGCTTTCAGAATTGGTTTCAGCTAATAGGTTCACAAATTGCAGCCCACATTTTTACTGTTATTTGAATTAAAAGAGTGGAGTACTTCTGACTTCGACCCACCCAGCACTGTGCCCCCTACCAACTGTGCCTCACTCCCTGATGAGCTCAACCACTTCTTTGCTCGCTTCGAGAGGAAAATAAGGTGGTCTGTCCTTAAAACAGATGTACCACCTGATGAGCAGCCACTCACGCTCTCCACGGCAGATATCTGTCACACTCTGAGCAAGGTGAATGTACAAAAGGCAGCTGGCCCTGTGCTTAGAGCCTGTGCTAAGCAGCTGGCCAGGGTCCTCATGGACAATTTCAACCTGTCGCTGGCCCAGGCAGTTGTCCTAACTAGCTTTAAGACTGCCACCACTGTCCCAGTAGCAAAGCATTCCACCCTGTCGCACTCATCTCCATCATCTCCAAGTGATTTGAAAGACTAGTTCTTTCTGATTTGAAATGTCTGCCTGCTACACTGATATCACACCAATTTGCTGCAATAGGTCAACGGAAGACGCCATTTGTACAGCGCTGTTCAGGGAAATATGTTATTGTTGGTTAGTTAGTTAAGTTAGTTATTAAGGTAGTTATTGTTTAGTTAATAGTGAACTACCATAATCATTTGTCTATGTTTACTTGAGTAACTAACCAGTATTCCTTCATAGTTATAATATAGTTATAGCATAACATAATTATAGCATAATGTTCATTTGTCCTTGCTTAGTCCCTGGATAGTTACCTCCTTAACAGTATTATAAATAGTTACCACATCCAAACATTCTAGGAACCTCTTTAGGTCACATGGAATCACAGGCTGCACAATTATTAATACACATTATTAATGGATTTTACAGCCTAAAGTTAGGAGAGCACAATCAGAATCAGCTGCTGAGTGCTGGATGTCAGGCTGAAGAGAGGAAAGTTGGAAAACTGGTTGAACAGCTTTGGATGTGTATTCACTGTGTGTATTCTCTGTGTAAACTGTTGGGTTTCAGAGTTTTTTTTTTAAATGACCTCTGAGCAAACAGTACAGAGCTGTAGTTACCTGTTTCAGTTCTCACACATGTGATGCCTAACATCATTAACCACTGCTGGTTTGTTTCATTTCATTTTATGCTTGGTTTTCTCGGTTTTCTCAGTCTGACATCTGATGGATGCTTCAACTTATTTTCTGCTCCTTCTTCTATCATTTGCTTCCAAATGTTACAATGCAAAGTTGGGCTCAGACTATAATATAGTAATCATAAGTGATCTACAAATAAACAAATACATACACAAAGGATAATCTTCAGCCTCTCTATGCCTGTCCCCTGCCATCCTTCCCCATCCTGGCTCTCTCACCTCTGCCTCCTGCCATTATCATCTCACCGTTAGCAAGCAGGATGTTATCAAGCTTTTCAGCAGACAGAAGGTGAGAAAAGCTCTGAGGCCAGATGGAGTCTCTCCATCCACCCTAAAGCACTGCTGTGACCAACTAGCACCACTTTTCACCACCATCTTCAACAAATCACTGGAATTTGCTCTGTTCCCATTTGCTTCAAAACATCTACTATCATTGCTGTCCCCCAGAAAACCAAACATAACTACAGGCCAGTAGCCCTGACCTCTGTAGTCATGAAAGTCTTTGAACGCCTGGTTCTTGCCCACCTGAAAGCCTTTACAAACCCTCTACTGGGCTAACAGGTCTGACGACGCGGTGGCCCTGCACTTCATGCTACAGCATCTCGATAGTCCTAGAACCTATGCTAGAGTTCTGTTTGTGGAAATCAGCTCAGCTTTTAACGCCACAGCGCGAGAGCTGCGGCAGGTCAAGCTGTCTCAACTGTCTATGCCAGATCCCATCTGCCGGTGGTTCATGGATTTCCTGACCCCTAGACCCTCAGTACTAGTGTACCACAAGGTTTTGTGCTCTAACCCTTTCTCTTCAGTCTCTATACCAATCACTGTGTCTTTAAGGAACCAGCTGTGAACATCCTGAAGAAATTCAACCTGCTGCAGAGCCTGATGATCCAGTTCTACACAGGGATCATTGAGTCCATCCTCACATCATCCATAACCATCTGATTTGATTCCTCCACCTCACAAGAACGAGCCAAACCCCAGCGCGTAATCAGGACAGTGTGAAGATCATTGAATGTAGTCATCAGAACATCTACAACAACAGGGTCACGAAATGCACCAGCAAAATAACAGCTGGCCCCTCTCATCCTGGACATCAACTCTTCCAGCTACGTCCCTCTGGTAGAAGATTCAAGACCATCATAACCAGCATGCTAACAGCTTCTTCCCCAGAGCTATAGCACATATTAACCACAGTGGACATCTCACACTTTAAACTTATAATACTTATTTACAAAGCTGTACAAGTGTTACATTTCTGCAAATACTCATATCGTTCTGTAATATTGTGTATATCATAGATTTTATATGTCATTGAACCTTCATTTATGTAGATATTCTTATCTGCATACGTACAGATATTCACACTTCTCTTTAGCTCCTCCATGCCTGTTTATTAGTTATTCTTTATTCTATTTATTGTATTTTTATTTTAATATTTCCTTTGGTAAATACTAGTTAACAATCTGTTTGCTTGTCTGGTTTGTTTAGTATGTGACATATCATGCATTAGTGCACTCCTATTCCTTGTATGTGTAACATAAACTGAGTCTGATTCTGATCTGATTCTGACTCAAACAGAGTAAAGTCAGCATATACGGACTTTGGCAGCAAATGACAAGCTTATCGCCTCTGCATGTCTCCTCCTGTACTGGGGATGTGGTTGCGATTGTGTGCTTAAACTGATCTAAAATCACACAGTGTAGATCTGGTGGGATTCTGTCAAGGTGGAATGTTTTAACTGGCCAGTGACTTTGTGTCTGACTGTGATGGAATCCATAACACTTTTCTGTGTGAACAGAGCCTCCTTTACTATGTTTGTTCATTAGTGTGGCAGTGTACACTCAGTTTTTGTCACACGGTATCAGCAGGTATCAGAGTACAGGTATCAGTGAGTATGAGTAAACGAGCACAGTATCGGTATAGATACATCCCTACTTAAAAACAATTCATTAAATGTTATAAACTTCACATTCATTGCATATTTAGGTTCACAACAACATGAATAACAAAACTTACCTTGTATGTTGAGCTTTATTTCTGTTTCAAATGGTCCACTTGGAAATATGTTGAAGATGCAAGTGTAGACTCCTTCATCTAATAATGCAGTGTTCTTTAGAAGAATTGTGCCAGTCAGTTCTTGAATGTCACCAATAAATTTAGTTCTGTCTCCTAATCCATTTACACTTTCTGTTTTGCCCTCTGGGGTAATGAAGAAAAAGTTCTTATTTCTGAGGATTTGTCGCGTCCTTTTTTGCCACGTAATCCGTGTTAGTTTCTCACTTGTCTCAACCAGCTGACAGAACAATGTGGCGTCTTGTCCTACTGTAACTGTTGTACTCCGACCAATGACCCTTATAGCTGCAAGAAAAAAAAAACAAGAAGTAAGAATACAAAAAATACTTGCTTTTACACCCAGCAAGTGGATCAAACTCAGAGCCTGGTGTTATGTAAGAATCCTCTTTTTGGTCTAAACAGTGGGATGATACATTTTATTCAGCCATGGGACTACATGTCCCGGAGGTTTTCTGTTTTATTTAACAATTCCCCAGGGAAATTCCTATGTTCAAAAGAATATCAAAACCCCTCTACATTGATGAAGAGTAAAATACAGTGCTGTGAAAAAGAATCTGCCCCTCACCTGATTTCTTCTATTTTTGCTAATTTGTTACATTTAAGTGTTTCAGATCATCCAACTAATTTTAAAATAAAGACAACACAAGTAAATACAAAATGCAGCTTTTAAATGATCATTCAATTTATGTAAGGTTTATTCAAACCTATATCACTGTGAAAAAGTAACTGCCCCCTAATAAGTGGTTGTGCCACCCTTGGCAGTAACAACTGCAATCAAATGTTTGCGCTGACCTGTGATGAGCCCCTTTTTTGTAGAATTGTTTTAATTTGGCTACATTGGAGGGCTTTCGAGCATGAACTGCCCATTCAAGGTCTTACTAAAGCATCTTGCTGGGATTCAAGTCAGGACTTTGACTTGGCCACTGTAAAGCCTTCCATTTGTTTCTTTTGAGCCATTCAATGGTGGACTTGCTTGTGGGCTTCAGATCATTGTCCTGCTGCATAACCCAACTGTGCTTGAGCTTTAGTTCACAAACTAAAGGCCAAACATTCTCCTTCAGGATTTTCTGACAGAGAGCAGAATTCATGGTTCCATCAATTACAAGTCAGGGTTCTGCAGAAGCAAAGCAGCCGCAGACCATCAAACAATCACCATGTTTGACTGTTGGTATGATGTTCTCATGGTGGAATGTGGTGTTAGCTTTACGCCAGTAATGGGACCTAGTGCTGTGCGATATGACTTCAAATCAAAATCACAACTAATTGAATGTTTTACCTCAATTACGATTAATGAACGATTATTATTATTTATTTTTTTGTTTGTTTTTTGCCCTCATTAGTTCACTGACGAGGTTTGTACCGTAAAAATGCTCTGTATATCTTAATGTAAATCCTCTCAACAGCCACATCGGACGTCAATCCAACTCTATATTCGTCATAATTTCTCGCTGCTGAGACCTAATAAACATTTGGAGTGATATTTCTGTACAAAACACCTCCGTGTTTGAAGAGATTTCGAAAGAAAGGGCCGAACGCGGCCGTATGAGAGCGAGGCTGCAGCGTCAAAGAACAGTTAAAAGTCTGAAAGCAAAGTTTAAAGAATCCAAGGACACGAACCAAAGAAGTGACCACGCCCTTTTTACTGCGAACTCGAACACATTTTGGGTGATGATTCCAGCTGTAAGTCTGTGAAGCTTTATGATGGCTCCTGTGATGCTGGCGAAGATGAAACCAAAAGCTCAGAAGCGACTGCTGTTCATTCGTAGTCATGAGTGTTTACCTCTGGATGAGCCATGTGAAGCAACGTGACACGTTGTTCTTCTGTGCATGTGGGTCAGTTCAGGAGCTGATCTGTTTAGACTGATGTTGCATGCAGATCACATTTAAAAGATACTGTGAACAGCCAAACAAAAAAATCGGATTTGGGCCACTTTTACCTGCTGTGTGAACGTAGCCTTAGCTTCCATAATGTTAGAGTGGACATGGTGGAGTCACATGACTACACATGCAGTAGTAAGTTTTTAAGGGGACAATACATGAACACACAGAGTGGGGAAAGGATTTAACTGAATTTTTAAAAAAATTAAATAACCGACATGGGCAAGATTACGTCGGTTACAATTACTTTTTGATTAATCACCCAGCCCTAACGGGACCCATGTCTTCCAAAAAGTTCCACCTTTGATTCATCAGTCCACAGACAAGTCTTGGGGGTCATCTGGATGTTTTTTGACAATTGTGAGATGAGCCTTTGTGTTCTTTTTGGTCAGTAGTAGTTTGTGCTGTAACTCTCTCACTGATGCCATTTTCGCCTGTTCTTATTGTGGATTTGTATACATTGATCTAAACTGAGGCAAGTGAGGCCTGCAGTTCTTTAGATGTTCGTCTGGGATCTTTCGTGACCTCCTGGATGAGTCGTTGATGTGCTCTTGGTGAAATTTTGGTAGGCTGGCCACTCCTGGAAAGGTTCACCACTGTTCCAAGTTTTCTCCATTTGTGCATAATGGCTCTCACTGTGGTTCACTGGAGTCCCACAGCTTTAGCAATGGCTTTGTAACCTTCTCTAGACCAGTAGATTTTAATGACTTTGTTTTGCATCTGTATTTGAATATCTTTAGAACGTGACATCATAAGCTGCTTTTTGAGAACTTCTAGCTGCTTCACATTGCCAGACAGGTTCTATTTAACCCTTGTGTAATGTTGATGTATTTGTTACTCAGTGGTCTGGTGGACCCACCGCATTATTGTTTTTATAAATCAATACAGGCATAAACATTTATGTAAAAATATTGAATGTTTAAAATATCACAAGTGACCAGTGTGGAGTTCTCCTTTAGCAGCTGTAGCCAGTCAGCAGCCTGTCCATGTTGTCCACCCTCACACACACACACACACACACACACACACACACACACACACACACACACACACTAACAGCAGGCCATGTAGGAGGAGAACAGAGTGAAGGGACACAGCACCTCCACACTTTTATTCCCCGTGGGTCCCCCCTACACCACATGTGTAATATAAATGTGTAGGGGGTTTACAGTGTGAAGGCACTGAAAATGTGTTACTTGTTGGAGGAAATGAGGAAAGGCCAAGAAATCTGAGGTTGAAATAATAAATCGCTTCATTTCTATTAGTAAACAATGAAAATGGTTCCCACAGACCCGAACACCACACAAGGGTTAAGATTTAGAATCAACAGCTCTGCCAGTAATCATGTCTGGTGCGCTTATTGAAGCTGAACCCAATAGTCAATTAAATTTGGCTAACTAGTTGATTTAGTAGGTAAGGGGACAATTATTTTTCACATAGAACCAAGTAAGGCTGAACAGCATTTTTCCTTCAATAAATAAAATTATCATTTAAAAACAGCATTTTGTGTTTACATAGGTTATCTTTGTCTAATATTAAAAGTAGTTTGATGATCTGAAACAATTGTGACAAATATGCAGAAATGGAAAAAATTGGGAAGGGCCAAATACTGTTTCACAGTACTGTAGTTCTAAGCTTCTTTCACTTATCAAGAAATACGACCTATTCTGAACTATATACACTTCCACGACACTCCCCTTTTTTTGGTATGTAGTTAGTTATTTTTCTTTAATTTGAGAAACCTCTTTGCATATATACTGAAACATATACATATATAATGAAAAAATAATAAATAATTAATGTGAATAACTGTGATTCTATTATGTATTATTATACAGTGAACACGCTCCATGCTTTGTTACTGAGGAGCTTCTACTTCAAACATTACAGCTTTAAAGTCGCAGCTTTATCACATTTTTCTGTACTGTCACAGAAAAGCGTTTATTTTGGAAGTTATTTAAAGGGATAGTCAGCCTTATGGATCAAATGAGACAGTCCAGTCTTTGTAGAGGTCTTTGTAGTCAGGCCCTGACCCTGGCCTGCAGTACTGTACTGGTAACTTCATGTAGAATAGATGGATAGAAGCGTTATTAACTCCAGACTTACCTGTAGTTCTGCTGCAGAGCAAAATGAAGAAAACAACACCCAGAAAAAGATGATGTTGTAAGAAAATCATCGCATTAAACTGAAATAATCCAGTTTAGCCTCCGTTCATCCAAACGCAGATGTCCCGGTCGCACGTCAACAGAGACGACATCGAGTCGATATCAGTAGAAAACGCTGGATGGCACATCGGATATAAGAAACAAAGGAATCTTTTCATTAAATTAAAAATGAAATAATGAGGACCTCGAGACCACGAGCGAAACGGGAACAAAGCCCCGCTTGTAGCTGGAACAGGAAACACTCTCCGTCAGCAAAGAGTATTGAAGCCCAAAATACGCAACTCTCTTTATTAGGGCGCCGCCTAATGGCTAAATGATGGTGCTGCGGTAGCGGTGCCGCCAGTGAACAGCACAGAACCTGTGGACATTCACGTCCTACACACTTTTATTTCTATGAATAATATGAAGGTCTTGTTATAAACTATGATACAAATTCACGTAGAACAACTTTCACGTAGAGCCCTTTAAAAGTTTCTGTTGGTTCCTGGTGGTGTCCAGTAGTCAGTAACGGCATTTTGTATTTTCCTGATGGGTTGAAATCACAGTGTAAAGGATTCTAATGTTTAAACAGGCATTCTGGGACTGATACCAATTGCATCTGATGGCTTCCTAAAGGGATCTGAAGGTGTCCTACAGCAAACTAGCAGTCTCCAATAGTAACCATTAAGCCAACTCCCATTAGAAAGTAAAACCATCATATTTTAATTCAAATTGTTCAAATGGTCTCTTTTCAACAAGGATAGCATCGGTTCCTAATTTCAGGCTATCCTGTAATGACCTGAATTCCTTATCACAAATAAAACAGAACAAAAAAGCGGAAAAGACGTCGCTGGTGTTAAATGAAATTATTAAAACATTGCATTGAGTAACATAGATCATATCCATGTAAGACTTATATACCACCCAAAGTTATTAGTATTAACTTTATTTTATTTTATTTTATTTATGTATTTTTATTTTGTTACTTGTGACAGTTATTTGTGTGTGGATGTATGTATTGTCTTTTACTTGAATAGGTTCAGCATAAATCTGTACGTTTAATTCTTCCAAGATGTAATTGGAGCTGTACATTTACCCGGTACATGATTGTTTGAAATAAATACATTAATTAAAAAAAATAAACAAACAGCTGGGAAGGAATTGAAGTAAATAAAAGCAAGAGAGAGGAGCATGAGATGGGAGGAGAGGATAGAAGGGGGAAGGAGAGAAGGAAGGAGAGGGAGAGGAAAAAGGAGCAGGAGATGAGAGGAAAGGACGAGCAGAAACTGCCAGCTAACTCTCAACTTCATTAAAGCTGATGTCGACTGCTGATGAACTGAGCCTATCTATGGCAAGCCAAGAGGATCAGAATTCGTCAGTCCGAGCAAAGTAAACACATTCAGTTCTGCATTCAGTTCTGCTTCTGTCCATCTTGCTGCATGCATGCATGTATACTCGGAAGCAGACCGATTAGGAGCTTCCGAGTATACATGCATGCAGCAAGCAGGCTATGTAGCCTACATGTGGGCCTATGGACAGCTCTGCTGTAAGGTTGTTCACTTTCCTTTGCCCCAAGATGGGTCTCCATTAGACCCTTTGGTATATAAGGCCACTGTTTCATGTTATATGTGCCATAACATCACAACATGGCCAACATCCTTATCTTTTTAAAGGCCAGCCAAGGAAATTGTGTACCAAAAACTGTTGTAGAAAGGCTGAAGAATGGTGAATCGACAATAAAAGCATGATGCGACTGCAATGGTTTTGGGAATACTTTATTCATTTTGATGTACTTTTCCAGATAAAGAGTATTTGGCTGACAAAATGAATCAAATAAGAACTGCAAGGAATACAAAAAGCTCTGGGCCGGCAGGTACACTCTGTATTTATTACACTCTGCTATACCCCTATATGACTCCGTGTCCATAGACAGCCTAGGACACTCTTTGTCAGTGGCAATTTTTTCTGCTGTGGATTCATATAAACAGGGCCAAGGGTGTTAATCAGATCCTAAATAGTAGGGTTTAAGGGGGACAGACAGTTAGTTCAGCATCAACATTCCCAGATTACCATAGGACAGATCTGCGCCTTATCCTAACAGGAAAACAAATTAACCAAAGGCTCGACTAAACAGGTAAGTTTTTAGCCTAGACTTAAAGATGGAGGCTGTGTCTGAGTCCCGAACACAGACTGGTAGGTTATTCCAAAGCTGGGGGGCGTTGTATGAAAAGGCTCTTCCCCCTGACGTAACTTTATTTATTCTGGGTACTGAGCCCACACCTTGTGATCTAAGTGGGCGTGTCGGTTGATAATAGGAAATAAGGTCACTGAGGTACTGAGGAGCGAGGCCATTCAAAGCTTTATACGTCAGTAGAAGAATTTTGTACTCAGTGCGGAATTTAACTGGCAACCAATGTAAGGTACACAAAATTGGGCTAATGTGGTCAAATTTCCTGGTTTTGGTGAGAACTCTGGCTGCAGCTTTCTGGACTAACTAAAGCTTGCTAAGGTTTTGGCTAGAACAACGTTTCTGCATCCTGTAGCGACAGTGCATTTCTTAATTTAGCGATGTTACGCAGGTGGAGGAAAGCTATTCTGGTAATATTGGTAATGTGCTCATTGAAGGCCATTGTTCGATTGTGACACCAAGGCTTTTTACAGATGTGCCTGGTGCAATTGAGAAACTATCGAGATTAAGAGTAAACATAGGCAGATTATTCCTAGCAGCTTTTGGACCCAGAAGAAGAACTTCTGTTTTGTCCGAGTTTAGTAAGAGCAAGTTACTTGACATCCAGTCTTTAATGTCTTTTACACAGTCCTCTATCTTATTAAGTTCAAATTTGTCCTCTGGTTTAGCTGAAATATACAATTGTGTATCATCGGCATAGCAGTGGAAACTGATGCCATGTTTTCTAATGATGGTACCTAGTGGTAGCATATATAAGGTAAATAATATGGGTCCTAAGACAGAGCCCTGTGGAACACCATACTTTACTCTTGTGAAAGCTGATGGTTTACCATTTACATTAACAAACTCATAGCGATCACTAAGGTAAGATTTGAACCACGAAAGAGCTTTACCTGTCACTCCTACTAGTTTTTCAAGACTGTCTAATAGAATGGAATGGTCTATTGTGTCAAAAGCTGCACTAAGATCGAGTAAAACCAGTAAGGATATGTTTCCTTTGTCAGCGGATAATAAAAGATCATTTACAACTTTCACTAGCGCTGTTTCAGTATTATGGTGAGGCCTGAAGCCAGACTGAAATTTTTCATGTATATTACTCCTATGCAGATGGGAACATAATTGTTTTGCCACGGCTTTCTCTAAAATTTTTGATAAAAAAGGGAAGATTTGAGATAGGTCTATAGTTTGATAACTCAGAGGGGTCAAGACTAGGTTTGTTAATTAGGGGTTTAATTACACCTAATTTAAGAGATTTTGGAACATAGCCGCTAGATAGAAAAAAGCTTGGTTATTTCGGGCAAAACGTCTTTAAGCAAACCTGTAGGAATAGGATCTAGTATACAAGTTGTTGTTTTTGAAGATGAAATAATTTGGACAAGCTCTGTTTGTTGGAGTAAAGTAAAAGACTCCAGCGTCTCTGTAGTGGTTATACTGCACTCCAGATCTAGATTAGGTTTATAGGACACTGCACTGCAATGCTGTGCATTTTGAATTTTGTGCCTAATCGATTCAATTTTATTATTGAAGAAGTTCATGAAGTCAATGCTGCTGTAGGCTGATGGTATCTGGGCTTCAGTAGCTGCTTGATTATTAGTCAATTTAGAGATAGTACTGAATAGTAGCCTAGGATTATTCTTGTTATTTTCAATCATTGACGAGAGATAGGTTGAACGTGCTGACTTTAGTGCTTTTCTATAGTCTGTAAGACTATTAGAGAGGGACGACATCCTCTAAATGTTGTATTTTTGGATACAAGCCTAAAAAGAGGAAATGTGATTAAGTCCTTACATAGACAAAATGCTTATTTAGAAACTTTAGACTTAAAGCCACCTTGACACAATATAATTGGAGTCTATTTACCATATACACAACCTTAATGATTAAGATCTGAGTACACTTGATCATTTCCATTTAATTATTTCTAGAATTTGTATATACACTGTTTATCATATTCACTCATTGTAACTTGAACAAAAGGAATATATTTGGAATTATTTATTCAAACGTTTTAATGTCATGATTCAATAGTCAGTCTTAAAAACAGACTACTTAGTTTAGGTTTATTCATTTAAATTTTTATTGACAAATATTAAATGCTACTCATAAACATGGATAACAGTTTGTTAAAACTTTTTTCACCAATTTACACGTTAAATGAATGATGAATCAAACCACTTGTGTTTACAGATGTTAAGAAACTTAGTTTGACGCTTTGTGGTCACCTATAGTCACAACTGTGGATGTGGAAAACAAACGCTGGGCTTAACCTGCTACTATGATCAAGAATACTTTGTTTAGCCTACAGATGATTAAATAAACGCTGTTTCACCTTCGTTGTTCATCATACACGATTTCATGCATATAACAGAGGGATTTCTACTGCATCCACTTCATCAGCTATGAAGAACGGAAACGCCACAAGATCCACCAGCTCACGTAGGTTTCATGTGGCGACTGTCCGACTTGATGGCTCTTTTCTACCCTCCTCCCCCCAACTGCAACCAGCTGCTCTCACTGACCACCAAGGCGAGGCGCAGTTCACCTCGAACAAGCCTAATGAACGCACTGGTTGAGAATCTGTTGCTTGAGGAAGAGGAGCTGTTGTGTTTGCTCCTACTTTTTAGAAGAAAACAGAGGAGGAGATGGTCTGTGCGACCAATTAACAGAGGGAGGCGAGAGACAGGAGAGTATAATCTTCTTGTAATGTTTATTCAGCATGTTAGTACCCATGCCATCCATGTCAAACTGTCTGAGAGGCTGGCTGTCACATTGAGAATTTTAGCCTCCGGAAGTACTCAACAAAGTGTTGCTGCAAGCTATAAACTTGGATCTACCACAGTGTCACTAATTGTTTCTGAGATCTCCAAGGCTCTTTGGGATGCTCTTAGCAAAGACGTTGTTGGCTTTCCAAGTGGCACTGAGTGGGAAGACAATTCCTTTGAATTTTGGAAGGTTTGGAATTTCCCAAATTGTTTGAGTTGTATTGATGGGAAACATGTCCAAATTAAAGCACCACCACTGACAGGTAGTGACTTTTTTTAACTACAAAGGAGCAAACTCCATCATCCTAATGGGAGAATGT